GGCGATATTCCTGGGAACCCTTCAGTTCCAGTGAGATTGGGATGGAAAGGAGCCACGTTGTGCTCAGCCTGATTCAGAGCCAAAAATGTGCCAGGATTTGGTGCAAATGGGGTTGGTTTGTGCCTAAACTTGGTTGTCTAAAGCAGAAATCTGGTCTAAGCCCAAATGTTGCTGTAGGACACAAAAGAACACAAGCTCACATCACTGTTCTTAAGGTGAAGAAAAACGGGAAGTTTATTTTCTGACTCCAACACTTATAGTTTTCAAAAAGTGACAGCGGATTGCAGGGTGACAGTGCCACCTCTCCAATGACACTGGACAAACCAACAGCCCATCAACTCTCTCCTCCTCCATAAAGGAATGCAAAACAATGAGTTATTTATGAGAAAATGTGTGAGAAAATTCGCTACAAGAATGGCAACATCAGAAAGCTTAGAAAATCTTAAAAAATCAGGGGGACAGCCATAGACCTCCCTCTCTGCTCCGTGGCAGAGGAAAATCAGAATTTTATCCAGCTGAACCTGAGTCTTTAAAGTAGGATAAGTGTGATTAATTTTCTCATGGAAGCATCTACTGTTCTCTGTCTGGTATAAGGAAAGATTTAAAACTTCCAGTTGTATGATGTGAGACAAAACCAGACAAATTTCCTCACACCCATTGATGCTACTAAGAATCAGAAACTGTGCACAGGAAGGGTGCTTGACCTTTATTGCTTTTTTTTGTGTCTTAATTATCCCTTTCCACATTTCTGAACATTCCCATCTACTTAAGATTCTGAGGAATTCAAGTTCCTAAATAATAAGGCCATAAAAGTACAATAAATCAGCAAGGCATTCATTTAATCTTGCATATTAATGAAACTTTTTGTTCTAATGCTACGAACAAGAACGCCCAAACATTTTTTAATTTCTATCTCAATAATTTTATTATGTAACCTAACATTTTTCTGTCTATCAGCGATCTTATTGTTCCCATATCACTAAACAAAGTTTGCAGTGATGTTTCTAAGTACAAAAATCGCAGTACAAACTGAGTGCCATAGGAGAAAAAGTCAGCAGGAATTATATTTTTAGGAAACAGGTAATTACTTGATAATTTTAATATGTAGGAGATATGGGTGGGTGGGAGAAAAACAAGAGCTTTAGAGAAAATATTTTCTTTGTGGAACAGAGGGGTTCACAAAAAAAATACAAGTTTGATCAAGGCCTAAATTCACACATGGTGATATGCTGGGTTTCTATTATACATCAGCCAAAAGATAAAAAAGTATAATTCAAAAGAATTGATCAGTTGATAAAATGGAAATAATTTCAACTTTTCTGATTCCAAATTTTTCTCCAGCAGCCTTTCAACCTAGATTTTGTTGGCATTGGTCTTGCTTTCAGTGCCATTGGAAACTCATCCACAGAAAGGATTTCAAATCTTTATTTTGTTGGAATGACAAAGCCAGTGAATTAGAAGTGTTGTTATTAACTTGGGACCTGATTCTGTCAACATTTATGCAGGTGCCTAATTAATTCATGCAGTTAGGCTGAGAGATTTTAATGGACCACGTTTTTCAGTCTAAGCTTATGTGTGGCTGTTTTCAAAGCCACAGCTCAAACTAAGAAACCAATGTTTAATTTTGCCCCAGAAGTACTGATTTGCTTCTGAATCTAAAATTCATAGCCAATTTCTCTGTGCATAATAAATGAATCATTCTCTGTCTGATACATTTGCAAGTTTTAACTCTGATCAGATTCTGATGAATGCCTTTGCCTGAATTTTACTTGTGGTTCTTTCACCTTTGGCACAGGAATATCTTTCTCTGTGTGGTAAATAATAGAGAAGAAAGACTAGAGGTTTGTTTTTTTTTTTTTTCATGAAGCTCAATAAGCTTAACTGGAGAATAATAAATTTCTTAATTTTCAAAGACTTCCTGCATTAAATGGCAACATATGCTTAAAGAAGCAATAAGTAATAGCCCCCTGTTATTAAAGGTGTTTTCTCCTTGCTTGCCCAATCAAAAGTGAGCACTGATGAAATAATATCATTGGCAAGCAAGCAGTCATAAAGTATTTTAATATCTATTCCCATTTTGAAACAGCAGATAATGTTTACCTGTCATATTTTAAATTAGGGACTAAATTATAGCCAGGTCTGCAAAATCAGAACAGATCAGAGAAGCTTCCACACCCAGTGGAGGTAATAAATGGTCAGGCATTAATACCTCGTGTTCAGGAATATGAATAAAGTGTAACTTCCCACCTTACAACCATTTAAATTTAAATTTCCCTTGTTTTGTTTTGTTCTGAGAATGTCACATGTGGCCATGACAAACCCAGCTGTGTTGTACCTGCTCCCCCATCTCTGCCCTGTCAAGGGAAATATTCGAAAAGCTTGGTGCAACTTATTGCCACAAATCTGTTGCCTGTCCAGCATCTGCTGATTATTTACAGATAATTAAACATTAATCGCTCCATGTCAAGTTTGATTTTATTTCTGGGTACTAAAACTATGTTGAATATAGTATAAACCTTCCTTCTTCTCTACCTTTACAAGGACGTTTATATGAAGATTATATACCTTCATCTAAAATACACAGATGCTTGCTTTTTTTCTTTTTTTTTTTTTTTTTTTTTTTCCCCCAAATTCCTGGAATTTCCACCACTTTTTTTTTTTGTGGGGTCACTGAAAAAGGTTCACAAATTGCTTTCATTTTTTTCTTAAAAAAATATAGGGTAAATTTTACTATACTCTGCTAACTTGAGCACATATGTAAAAGCTAAATTTCCTTGTGCTTATATAGATGTTCTTCAAACTGCCCATTCCTAATTCAGGCCTGTTGCACCTACTATCAATTATATCAAATACCTGACCACCTCTGCTAGTTAAGAAATTATAATCTGAAATTTAAGGTTAAATTTATTTTAACCCTAAATATTAATGTTGTTTACCTCCTTTTTTTAAATTGTTTTCATAATTGCATCTCTAGCGTTATTCGTTTTATCCCAACAACTCAGAATAAATTCTCTTTTATTCTTTAGGTTTACTTGTTTAGATTGTATTTTTAATGATTGCTTTTTGATATTCAGGCTTGAGACTTCCTTATGCAATCATATTAGTCTCCTACTACACTTTCAAGTGTTCTATTAATTAAGGTAATTTGATATATGCATTTATTAAATACGCTTTCCAAAACTTTCATCTCTCTTAAACTCCTTTTCTAATTAAAATGTTTCCCCTCTGCCTGGCAATGTTTTTTTAATGTTTACTTTTGCAATGTTTTGTTAATATTTACTTTTTTAAAGTCTATTGTTGCTGCCACTTTTTCCTGTTTCTCCAGTGTATCCCAGGAACTTAGTGAACATTATTTGCATGGAAAACACAAATCTGTTCTTTCATCTGTCTATGTTAACAGAGATATATACACATATATATTTAGTGATGTATAAACTATATTTGAATCCCTGTATCCCTTTAAAGGTTTCCTCATTTGCATCCAATGCGTAATATTTAAATGCCAGAAACAGAAAGCTTGGGCTCATGGTTGCTGCCACTTCTTCAAAATGTAAATTATTCTTAAATCATGTGTTTTTGTGGTTTTACTTTAATTCAGATTCTGTAAAATAAATTTAAGAACATTTAGTCAAGAAGAAAATATCGTTTCCTATCACAGTAGAAGTTCCTAGGAAAGAATGTCCCTGCTCTTGATGAAAAAAACACTGAAAATTCCCCTTTGTATTCATCAGCTGGGTTCAGGTTACCAATAAGTGTACCAAAAATAGGGTTTAGGGAAAAGATGGGCAAAAAAGGTAATATTTTAACAACAAAAAAAGGCAATAACTGTTGTGGGAATCATCATTTCCTGTTGTTGTAATTACATTACATTACATCCTGTTGTTGTAATGTAATTAATTAATTACATTACAAAAAATGTAATTAATTGCCAAAATAGTAAAGTCAGTGATACATGATCTGGATACCTAAATGCTAGAATAAAAGTAATATGAATATGTGGAAAAGATGGGTATCTATAAATCTTAAACTTGACCCTAGTTCCCTAAATTCTTAAGAATTAATTCAACTGCATCTTTTTATCTAGGTTTCTAATGAAACATTGATTATGTTTGTCCTCTATGAGCATAGTCCTTCAATATTATTGTTAAATTTTTAAGATGAGCAAACAAGTCCAGGAATGCAGTATAATCAGTGGGACCTGATGTTCATGTTTGTAGCATTTGGGTTTGAGTTATTAGAGGACTGATTTAGGGAAGAATTCTTTTCCTGCAAACACAATGTGCAGAAAGTGATTATGCCTTCAAAGGAATCTTCAATGAAATTTGAAGAAAAGTCTCTTGCTACTTCAAACAATGCTCTGAAACCATTTACCAAAGTAAATAATAGCTTTAGATTGTATATTAAATAAGTTCGTACCACAGTTTATAATATTTTTAGCCAGTATCTGTGGCTGTGTTTTGTGTTATATACATGGTGATAGTGAAGAAACAGAAGATTCATTTAGGTGTCTTCACAAAAGTATATCCTTGATTTTGCATTTTGTCTCTTATACAATTAATATTATTTAGTATGAGCTAGAGTTTAAATTATGTAAATTAGCAGGCATAATGGCTACAGCTTGTTTTGATCACTTGATACAAATATTTGCTGTGCTCTTTACAGGTTGTAAAGCTGTTAAATGAACTTTACTGCCTGCTCAGGTATCTCACAGCCTTTTAAAAGTTAGTAAATCCCAGGTTTGGAAGGAAGGTTTCTAATTTTTGTTGCACAATTGGAGGAGAGAATGTAGGGATGGATATAGGGATGGGTATTTCCATGCCGTCAGATAAAGTGCCAGAGGTGCCCACGTGCAGGGTGGGTACAAACCCATCCGTGAGCTCCCTGTGGAATTTCTAGCACAGCATGTGCTGCACCTCCTGGAAACTATCCATGCCCCAGAGCAAATTGTTCATGAGAGAACACAAATCTGACCCTGCTGCCTCTCCTTGTGTCCAACGCAGTGATGCCGCGTTTCGCTGAGCAAGTGGAGGTGGCCATCGAAGCCCTGAGCGCCAACGTGCCCCAGCCCTTCGAGGAGAACGAGTTCATCGACGCCTCCCGCCTGGTCTACGACGGCGTCCGGGACATCAGGAAAGCTGTCCTCATGATCAGGGTATGCCAAACACCTGGGGACTGAAGAGTTTTGGGGTTTACAGGGAGGGCTCATGGATAAGGGGAATGCAGAAGCTCCTTGGAATCAGCCTCGTGTTGTAGTAAGGCAGGAAAGATTGACATTGAAACAGGCACCAGGTTGGCATTGAAAAGTATATTGGAATATGAATCCCAATATAACCAGTTAGATGGTGCCTGGGCCAGTTCTGACCCTCGCTGCTGGGCCAAAGGCAGCACTGTGGTGCTTTACCCCAGAGATACCTTGGCTGAGAGTGCAGCGGGGCAAGTCCAGGCTTGTCAGGACTCCGTTTACCTCAGGAGAGAGCTTCTGGCGATGGTGGAGAGAAAGGGAGTGGATTCTGCTAGAAGGTTGCCAGATGTTTATTCCATGGGTACAGAGGTGTCTGCACCGGGGCAACTGCTGCTAACAGAATGGAGGCCGCATGGTCTCATTAACATTTTAAGCTCAGGACAGGGGAAGGGGAGGGGACAGGTGAGCCACCAACCAGGTGAAGGGGCAGGGTCTCAAGGGACTAGGGACACCTATCACACGACGCCTTGCTGGTATGTTAGCCTGATTGACAGGTCACACTCAGCGAGGGGCGAGGGGGAAGGGAGAAGGTAAAACAGGACATTGCAACACACCACAACAGAAAAGCTTGACATTGAAACATGCATGAAACAGAAGTATCTATCCAACAACAAAAGAATTAGTAAATAAAGAGGTTATTTAGTGGATGAATCACAATTAGTATGGTAATCAGCTAGAAGATTTGATCACAACTGCCAATAGATGCAAACTCCATTACTGTTTCCATAGTAATAGGATTAATTTGCCAAGCTCTTCAAAGTTTGTGTGGATTTTTTGTTTATTTGGGGTTTTTTCCCAATGTATGTGTGCTGTTTGGGATGTGAGGTAGGTCTGGTTAAAATCTAAATTAACCAGATTTTTTAATTTTAATACATTATCTTGCTGCTGCAGGGATGGTTTTGAATGTTTACCAAGGTAAAAAATGTGTCATTTCAGTGTTGACTAACCAGTTGACTCAATTTGTTTAGACATCTTTTAATAAAATAAACAAACAAATAAAAGACACCACATAACAACATCATTATTGTGATAGTAGGTGTGTGTTAGTTTTCACTTCAGTCAGCAGACAAAGATTTAAAAAAGAAAAACAGCAAACCAAACCTGGTTTGGACATGTCTTCAGCAACTGAAACTGTCATTTGAAACCCAAATTGCCTTGAATCTGCCCTAATAAAAGCCATGTACATGTAAAGCCATGGAGAAAATCACAGAGGAAGCTGTTGAGGCAAATAACAGGGCTGAAATGTCAACTGATCCCTTTGAGCAAACAGGTAGTGTGCACTTGTGGTTGTGAGTGTATTATGGCACTGATGTAAGACTTCAGGCAGTTGGAACACTCCAAAATAGCTCCATTTTAGTCATCTGCCACTATGTATTAACATTTACAGAAAAAGCTTTTGACAGGCTTAATTTTATAACTGCCAAACATAAATTCCATTCTCATACCCAGTGCTTATCCCAGGTGGTGTGAATTATTGTCCTGGCTTGTGGTGGGGGCAAAGCCATCCTGTTCTCTGGGTGTGTTAGAGGATTGGCAGGGAAGGGAAAGGGAAGGGGAGGGAAATTTTTGCTTGAATTACTTCCCTGTGAGGGTGCTGAGCCCTGGCCCAGGGTGCCCAGAGCAGCTGTGGCTGCCCCTGGATCCCTGGCAGTGCCCAAGGCCAGGCTGGATGGGGCTTGGAGCAGCCTGGGACAGTGGAAGGGGTGGCACTGGATGGGCTTTAAGGTCCCTTCCAACCCAAACCATTCCAGCATTCTACAGTTCTGGGAAATGAAAGATCTGCATCTGTTTTCCCTTTGATTTTCCAGTTCCTCAGTAACAACGATTTCCAAATTTTCTTAGGACAAGAACAACGGCCTAGCACACTTTAATCTTTTCTAGTAATTTCAAACTGTGATTGTGGCACAGACTCAATCATCAGGTGGGATCTCCTACAAACCCAGGTTTTTCCATCCTCTACACAGAGCTCCATCTTTCAGCAACCCTCTACACATCAAAGTTATCCCCAAGAGTTTGCCATGAGATGTCCATCCTGGTGAGAGGTTTTTAAGATTAAATTTTGAATTTTGAAGGCCTGATCCCTTCCTTTGTCACTCCCTGACAGTTCTGTGTACCTGGGGAGCTGATCAGCATTCAGAATTCTCAGTCTCCTTAGGAAAATCCCAAGTTACTTTTGCCATTACATCACTATGACATTCCACCCATTGTATGATCTGAGTTAATGAATTCTGTTTGCCCAGATTAAGAAGATTTATTTTTGCCTTCAGACAATTAACTTATTTATGGAGCTCAATGCAATACTCCTTACCCAGGCAGAGAACTAAAGCACATAAATGGACTCATTATCCATGTGAGTTAACTGGAAAAATCCACATATATAAGCTTACACAGACCAGAGTTTGCTGAATCAGAACCTTATTTGCTGTAGAAAACAAAATTAGTTTCACTTTGAGATATTCTTTAACGTTTCCATCTGAACATCTCACACTGAAATGGGATGTATAATTAAAGGGTGAGGCTATAAAAGCCTTTAGAATATTTTCATCTAATACTCTGTCAAATATTATGCACCCTTTAATTCAGGTAGTAAAACTTTTTCAGAATTGCAAAAAAAGGAAAAAAATCCAATCTTGCAAACTTTTTAGAGCATCTGACACAATTATTTTCAGGCAGTGATTGTTTGTGTGCAAGCTGTGAAAGATTGAATTTATCTGAGATGAGTCCCCTCATTCCAGAGAGTAAATAAAGCCACGTTTTAAATTAATTTTGGTTGGTGTTATTACTTTTAGTAAGCTGAAAGAAAGGGTGGATAGTCTCTGTTCTTCTCTTTTTCCCTCAAAAGGGGAGAATTTATTGTCCCTCTGGAGGAGAAAGGAGACTCATTTTTTCATTGAGGACTACTATTATTATCTATACAGATAAAAAGATCTCTTTCACTAGTTAAGAAGTAGTATAAATGAATTTAAGAGTATAATTATAGAACCTAGAAATAAAATAGAAAATAACTTCATTCCAACACCTTCCCTATTACTGCGTAGGGATGAAATTGCACTTTGTGTTTTCATAGCTGCCTATGAAATTCCCTCAGTTATTGGTCAGAAACCCTCTCTACACTCAGGAGGACTCACAATGGCAACTTTTCTCATTCTT